CTACCTCAACCCAAGCTGTTATCCCATTATGTATCGGTTGCAGATTTCCACCACTGGTTGAATGATTTGCAGAAACAAACACATTCGGGGTGCTGTTGAACTTCTGATTAAAGGAGACATCCTATGTAAAGAGCAGATCGAATCCAGTTCAAAATTAACTTAACTTTGCGAAGGAGGGACAACTTAAATCCTGCTCGTTATGCTTTGTTTCTTTGTAGGTCTGTTAGTTTGTTTGTTTTCTTCTGATTTTCAAATGAAGACTCCATGTGGCAGTTTTACTCTGACCTACTAAAGAACCATGTTTTTCTTTACGGTTCAATTCACAATTAAAGACAGTAACACCACCCGTTCTGGAACATGCTTTTGACGGCGAGAACGAAAAGGATATTTTTATGGGAAAAAATGCATTGGTATTGGACAAACTTTTTTAGCTCAGCTGTACCTTGCAATAAGCGCGGTTGTGATCAGCAGGTGGCGACTGAGAATTAGCAAAATAAACCGACTTGTGTTCAGAGAAGAGAGGTTTGTGCAGAGATGAGAATGCCAACCATTTCTAAAACATGAAATTAAAAATCATTTGTTATTACTTAATTTTGTGTTAATCTGTCCAAGTGTAGCTCACCAACCTTTAGCCTTGTTTCTGAAAAAAAAGACCACTTGATAAAAAGAGAATGGCAAATTAACCACAAGTAGTATTCAAAGGGGGTTTCTGACGCATTTTGAAAATTGCCTTATTTCTAAGTATAAACTCAAAAATAGCCTTAAAAAAAGGGCAGTCTAAAAATGTGTCAAAATAATCATGTTTTAAAGGCAATTTTGAAAAATGTAAAGATGAAATAAACAATTTTTAAAAAATCGAGTTTCCAGATAGGATTTGAACCCACGACCCTCCGTGATCTAGTCGGATGCTTTAACCGCTGAGCTACAGGAGACTCTATGGTGAGCAACGGAAAAAATTACTTTAATTTTTAATCTTACTTAAAAAAAAAAGCACAACGATGATCTCAAGGCAAAATGATTGACGCATCATTTGTTTCCTTCAAAATCAAAGCAAAATTGACGAATTTTGAGATTGCATTGATTTTCAAGACAATTTCAAAATGCGTTTGAACCAATACTTGTAACGAGGACCGAATTATTTTCACTAAATCTGTCACGTAATCCCAGACCTTTCTAGAATTGCCTTTAGTTTGTAATATTCCAGAAACTTCTTTCATGTGACCCAGCAGTTTCCAAAAATACTTTTAATGCGCTGTAAATAGTAAAAGAACATTATAGATACCTAAAGTATATGTATAAAAGCTGGCTTGTGAGAAGTGCAAAAAAACATTTGCCCGAGGGCTTGCCCTCGTGGCCGGCTGGCTGAACTTGTGCAAGCTATGATGTGACGACGCTATGACCTTTCCATATCCGGAGAGAAGGAAGAGAAGAAAAAGACGATAGCCGAGAAGGAAAGAAGATAAAGAATACACAGTTCACTATGAAGTCCTGCGGGAGAATTTTGTGTACGCGGAAAGAATACCATGAATCAAGAAAGCCAAGCGTTGTGGTCTTCAGTCGGCGAAAGTTGGAATTCGAAGTTGATCAAGACGATGAATACTTCTACGGCAGAAAGGATTGTAAGCCTGCTTTACGAACTACTTAACTTAATCTTAACCTAAGTAAATTGAGCAGTGTAAAAATAATTAAATAATAGTTAAAATGGGTAACTGCTTGTTGTTACATTTTTTTTTAGCGTGCCTTATATCGTACTGGGATGTCTGTTTTCTATAGATGTTTTATTAGCAGACATCTGTTGGTCATTCGTGCACGTAACATAATAGATATTTTAAAAATTACAGATTTTGGAGATACTGATCCTCTAGTAGAGCATACTCATGATGATGAAGACGACGATGAAGATGATGGAGATGCAACAACACCTTTTCAACCAGATGAGAATTCAACTCCGGGACCCTCAGGCGAAGAAATTCCAATGACGACAATGAAAAGGGGGCAAGAATAGTGTTCAAAAACGGCTGAGACATCTTTCATTGAAGGTGATATTTTTGGTTCGCAAGTTTGAACTTTAAATGAGAATGCATTGGAATCACTTACTAGTATTTTTCCGGAGGCAAAAGCTTCAGAACTTGAGGTTTCTTACAGTTTNGCGTGCCTTATATCGTACTCGGATGTCTATTTTTTATAGATGTTTTATTAGCAGACATCTGTTGGTCATTCGTGCACGTAACATAATAGATATTTTAAAAATTACAGATTTTGGAGATATTGATCCTCTAGTAGAGCATACTCATGATGATGAAGACGACGATGAAGATGATGGAGATGCAACAACACCTTTTCAACCAGATGAGAATTCAACTCCGGGACCCTCAGGCGAAGAAATTCCAATGACGACAATGAAAAGGGGGCAAGAATAGTGTTCAAAAACGGCTGAGACATCTTTCATTGAAGGTGATATTTTTGGTTCGCAAGTTTGAACTTTAAATGAGAATGCATTGGAATCACTTACTAGTACTTTTCCGGAAGCAAAAGCTTCAGAACTTGAGGTTTCTTACAGTAAGAAAGGAAGGTGGCAGGTGAAGATGTTTGGTCAAGGCAAGATGGTAGATCCTTTGTCTACTGAAGAAAGGGGCCCAAATAGGCAGAGGTTGAATCCTAGTCTCCCAAAACAAATTAAAACTTCACTTGGTCCACAGCGAGAAGTTTTGATTGCTCAGAAGGATAAAGAAATTGAAGATAAGGAACAGTCCATTTGAGATGATCAAGAGATTTCTGGTGATGAAAATGAGAACCCCACCATACGAGAACAAGCAAGAGAAAGAATAACTGAAAATCAAGAGCGCATTGATGCCCTTGAGAATGAAAGAGAGAGACTTGCAGAAAGATTATCACTCCGTGTGAGATTGATAAACATCTTCAAGGAGTATGGTTTTAAAGTCTCAGCTGTTGTTTTGGCAGTTGGAACAACGATTGGAGTGACTGTGAGCACACTAAAATAGGCCTTAGGGGTGGGGAACGGGCTTAAGACTCTTGGAAAAAATATCGCTGGAATTTCACCAGGTCTCGTTGGTGCAATAGTCAGCTTCGGTTTTAGAGTTGTTGGCTCAGTGATCAACTTTCTTAGAGAAAATGCCTGGACTCTAATAGTGGGTGTTGCAATATTTATGGTTGAGCGACTTCAAAACAAAAGGCGATGAATCAGGAGGGCTGAGACCAGTTGGACTGAGATCAATCCGTCTTTAATTTAATCATTACTTGTCTCGCTGTCACTCGACGCTTTCGTATTCACAAGAGTTTCATTTGGATCTGTCGTCTGAGCTTCGCTCGCGGTCTTTTGATTTGATAGGTGAGAAGTAGGTCTCTTCATTTTTGATAAGCCCCCGTTCATATGCTTAACTCCGACTGATTTCATATCCAAATTAACTGATTTATTGACTCCAAATTTCATGTGGAAACTTGCCTTCCTCAGCTTGTTATTATACCCGACTGCGCTCTGTGTGTTCAGAAGAATATTTGAGGGCATAAGCCAATTACTTGGTGAGATTGCAAGATCAAGTCTGACTTTCGCCTCATCAATCGGAAGCTAAAATCTCTGTACGCTCTTCGAGATGTCTGTCATTCTGATCGCATCCTCAACTAAAGCAATAAACTCACGCTGAGGCTCGTTTGCGCTTCCTGATTAACAAAAGATGGATGATCTGCCATTTACTTGTGAACCGAGAATTAAATAAACAAATGCCTCAACCGACTGAATTAGTCTCCCCAGCCCGGCTTGCGTCAGGCCTTCTGACTTATCTGTCATGAAAAAGTCGAGCTGTTTTTGAACTTTAATGTTGTCATTCCTTATGAAATAAATCAAATTGCCTTTTATGGCTTTTCCACCTTCATCTCTGAACTTGTTATCACCCGGATATGGGATGGCAGTTGCCATAGGTCCAGTATTAGTGACGTAAATGAAAAGAGATCCGAGACCATGACAGTCTTCTTCTGTGACGCGGAAGTCTGTGCTTGGAGAAACTCCAAATTCTGAAAACAATCTTTTGAACGATAACTTGTCGCTGTTATTATTTGTCTGACTGAGCGTTGGGTCGCCTGGGAGAGCCGATTCACTCTGTATTCCATCCATCTCTAAAAGAATCCTTCTGACTGCGATATAAATTTGAAACCGCAGAAACGACTTGATCTGGTCTGGAACCATGTCAAACGGTTCACGAGAGATTCCACAGCCTGAAATAGCGCACCACACTGCAAAGTTGAGTTGTTGAAACCTCTAGC